CCCAATGTCCACCTGCTACTTTTAATACTAAGCTTTTAAATGTATGCACATAGATCTATTTCCCCATCCTCATATATAAATATATTTACATATATTTAGACCACTATAAGTGTCCTTTGCCTCCTAATTCTTTCCTCTATTTCCTTTTACTTTGCTCATTTCCTACTATCATGCTCAGCCTTCATTTAGGTTTCAGTAATTCCTCTCAGTTACATTGCCCTTGATCAAGCCCTACCAGGCTTGATACACCCTCACCACCACTGCTTTTGGATCACTTGTTGTTCCCTTGTTACTGGGTTTGTTAACGCCACTTCTTTTCCCCCACCTCCTCCCCTCTCTTGTCCCCCCAGAACCGTCAGTCCCGTTGTTTTTTCCTTCAGATTGTTTATCCAGTCTGTCTTATCTGGATAGACTTGCTGAAATAATATGCACAAAAACAAGACGGAGCAAAACAAAGCAACAAAAGAAAACAACAAAAAAGCGGTGACAAAGAAAAGCCTGTAAATAGTTCACGGTCTGCTTGTTGACCTTTACGAGTATTTTCCCATGGGGTCTGATGCGGTGTCACACCCTGGCCCCAAAGTCTATTTTTGTACTGCCTCTAGACTTCCTTGCTCTGCTCCCTTTGCTGTTCTCTTGCCTGCCCTTAGTGTGATGGGGTCAGATCAGGTGCAGTATCCACACTGTCTCCAGTGCTGTCCCCTGCAGGGCATTGGGTCAGTGAGGGATGTCGTGTCTCATAGTGGGGCTGCTCCTATGGTCCTCTTCGTGCATTGGCTGCTCTGAGCAGGAATATCGTCCTCGAGGCTTTGTCAGCCAGGATGTGCTCCACTCTCTCTTCCTCCCCCTTAACTTGCAGCTGTGTGCTCTGATCAGACATGTCCCTCCCTGAGCTGTAGCTTCAGTGCTGTCCTCTGAAGTAAATTCTTCTGAGGGGAGGGGGCTTGTGTGTTTTTTTAAGGGCAAGCCTATAGTCCCTCTTTTTGTCTGACTCTGCTTTACCGAAGGTGATGTCCATTTCCATGGACTGGTCTCCTCTGATAACATGTCCAAGGGAGGCAAATAGTCTCTGCACCCTCGAAGGTAGAATCGTATAAATTGTAGCGTGGTTATGTTTAATATTTCTACTGTACTGTAACAATAGGTGTTTAATTACAACATTAAAGTAACTAATACAGGAAAATATCAATCACTAAAGAAAAGTGTTCAATTTATCTGATTGAAGTAGGTTTTATGATAAAATATACTTAGTAAGGTTTTAAAAGTTTCTTTAGATTCTTTATACAAATTTGCTACTGAACTTACTCTTTCTTTTTTAAAGTTTTAGCATTCTGTCCCTTTATTTTACAACAGGAGGAATACATAAAAAATCTATTTCTTTTCTTTTTTACGTAGCGTATAATAGTGCAAAATGGCTGTTGATGCTTTGACTTACTGCAGGATAGGTGAAACATGAAACTAGCATGAGAATTCATGAAGAGTTCTAATTGTTTCTGTTCACACGATTTCAGTTGCACTTATTTCGTTTGGGCTAGAGTAGGCTGAGGGCACAAAAATAAGAGAGACAACTGAATTGGATTCGTTTGAGTGTTATATGCGTAGGGTAAGAGAAGTTATATGCTTAGCCAAATGAAGGGGCAGAACTAAAAGATCTTCCAAGCATTTTTGAAGGAAGTTTCTTGTTTGGAAGACTGGACCACTTAGCAGAAAGCTGATAAATCACTTATTAAATAAATAAATTATCAAGGACTCATCAGGGAGGGGGAGCGGGGAGGGAGGGAAAAAATGAGGACCTAATGTCTGGGGCTTAAGTGGAGAGGAAATGTTTTGAGAATGATGTGTGTATGAATTGTGATAAGAGTTATATGAGCCCCTAATAAAATGATTAAAAATAATAATAATAAATAAGTAAATATTGATTTTGGTAGTGTATATGCCCCAAATTTTAAAGTCTGCCCTAGGTGAGTAAAATTTGTAATATTACATACTAATAATTGCTGGGTTTTTTTGTTTCTGAATAGACTGTCTGAATTTCCACATTTCCGAAACAATCATAAAACTGCAAGGATATCAGATCCAGTAAAACCGAAAGACCCTAAATGCAGATCTTCTCATTTAGATGATTCGTCAAAGACTGACTCCAGAGTGAAAGGTGATGGTTCCAGAGATGTGCATCGTGGCACCTCACTGCCAAGCCTGGGCAAAGAAGGACACCCACACTCTGAAAAAAGGAGCCCTTTGCTGTCGCCAGCATCTAATGAGAAGCACTGCACCAATGGCATTTGGTCGCGTTCCCAATATCAGGCCGGTGAGGGTAGCTCAAGCGAAGATAATAGGAGAGAGAAAAAAGAAATTAGACACAGGCAGCACAGTGGAGGATCCGATCGAACCCGGAAAGACTGTGGTGATGGTGAGCCGAGGAACCCAGAGACTCATCACAGACTACAAGGGCGTTCTGAGAAACATGGGAAAGGTGACCCAAAGGTGGAAAGCAAAAATCCAAAGCTTAAAAGTAGTGCCGACTCAGACCACCAAAGCGAGCACACCAGCCCCTCTTGGGGGACAGAGATGCCGAGAGAAAAGTCCCACATTCGAGTAGAATCTCAACATGACAAACGACTAGAGAGACACAGTGAAAGGTCACAACATGTAAATAGGAAGGACCTTACATCACAAGACAAAGAGGAGAGAAAAGTCGACCACAAACCCAAATCAGGAGTAAAGGACCAGGCTCACTGGCGAAGATCTGAACAAACACTGCTTCCTCATTCCCGGAATGAGATAACAAAATCTTCTCACAGTTCAAGTAAATATCATTTGGAAGAGAGAAGAGCAAGGGGGGAAGAGAGCAAAAGAGACAGGGGAGTAAGCAGTCACAGTTTTCAGGATGGCAGGTGTGCCTCTGCTCTTTCAAGCAGTCGACCGCACAAGCACAGTGAGTCCAAGGGCGCGGAGGGCATGCACCACAGGGAACACGTCCCTTTGAAAGTAGAAAAGCACAGGACTGAGGATCGGAGGAAACGAGACCAAGAAAGCAGAGAAGAAAGGCACATGAGAAGTGAGAAAAAGACACTGACAGAACGTTTGCAGAAAACTCATAAAGAGGCTAAGAAAACCACTACTGATTTCTTAAAGAGACCAAATGAGCCCCCAAACGACAAAAGTGAAACTACTAAAAGTGAAACTTCTGGAAGCGTCGATGACAAAGCACTTGTAGTTAAAGCTGAGAGTGGTCCAAGTGAAACCAAGAACAAGGACTTTAAGTTGAGTTTTATGGAAAAACTGAACTTAACTCTTTCTCCTGCTAAAAAGCAGCCGGTGTCTCAGGAAAGTCAGCACAGACTAAGTGATACTCCCAAATCCAGTGGCACGTGTGGTTTGGATCCCTTGGTGCAGGCTAAAACTGTGACTTGTGTTCCAGCTGTTAATGAGCATGTAGAGGAACCCAAATCAAAGTTACTAACACCCAAGGATGCGCTTTTAGCAGCATCTGAACACAAGATCAATATTCCAGAAAGCAAAAGTGAAGGGGAAAAAAAGGTGTTCGTGAAATCTGTTGAGAATTCTCTGGCTTGTGACCCGACCCTTTTTGGTACAGAGACTTTATTTTCAGCACCTATAGAAAAGGACCAAGCAGAATCCTTGTGTCCATCAACAGAAATGGAAAAATCCGTTGATAGTGCAAAGGCTACTCCCACAGTAATAAATGTAGTACAAACAGATACTCCTCAAAACTTTGGCTTGGAATTGGATAACAAGCGAAATGATGGTTTAAATTCCTACGGTGTTTCTGAAGGAATGGAAACGAAGGTGGATTCTTCAACAAAAGTGGCTGAAGGCAGTGGAAGCATTTTGCAGCCATCAGTCAAAGAAGCTGGCGTTTTGCGAGCAGTCGTTTTAGAAGATGGTAAAGCAAGATTTGAGGCTGTTCTTGAGGGTACACCACCTGCCGAGAGTAGGTCCTTTCCTATGGAGCCTGGCTTACTTCAAGAGACTGCAGACCTTTCCCTGCAGAAAGCGGAGTCAGTGGACCACAGAATGGAAACTGATGAGACAAATTCAGACTATCACGATGATGAGAATTCCATTCTGAGCATTGACTTTAATCAGCTGAGGCATATTCCCAAAGTCATCAGTCCCTTGAACAGCCCGGTGAGAGCAGTGGCAAAAGTTCTTAGAATGGGAAGCCCGTCTCAGGTTCCATCGAACAATAGCAGCCCTAAAGGTAATAGTCTGTTATCTTCTATCACCAGGTTTTGTGAGGATGCCTAGCCAGGGTGAACGAATGCTTTCCAATTTCTATTTTGCTAACTAACGGATATGCTACTCAGCAGCCATTGTTAACTAGAAGTGTACACTGGAGCCTTCAATCTCTAAACTTAGGTGACGATACCAGTAAGAATAGTGGGACAGCCTGTGTCAAGTGCTGTGTGCTTGCTTGCGGATGCTTTTGTCCCAAAGCCGCCATCAAACAGATGTGAAGTGTTGCTGATGGTTATCTTAAGACTAAATTTTATCACTCTTGTTAGAGTTGTCCTGAGAAGAAATTTTTTGCCTTTTTTTATTGTGGTGAAACATACTCGAGTATAAGCCGTTTTCCAGCACATTTTGAATGCAATTTTCGTGGTAAAATTAGGTGTTTCGGCTGATATTGAGGCCAGCTTATACTCCAGTATGTACAGTACATGATATAAAATTTACTATCTAGGTCAAACGGTGGTGGGGGTGGGATGCAAAAAAAAAAAATTTACTATCTAAACTATTTTTGAGAGTAAAATTCAGTGGTGTAAAATGCATTCACAAAGTACCATTATTACTATTAGTCTATTTCCAGGTCTTTTAAATCATCCCTAACAGAAACTATACCCATTAAACAACTCTCTTTCCTCTGTGCAGACTTTAAGACCACCAAAGGCCAATGGCATGAATGAGTATTGGGGATTAAAATTCTGCTTAACGGGGTGGGGCATAAAAAAGTATAAATTGCTTTAGTATTTAACTTTTTTTAAAGCATGGAAAGTCAAATGACTATGGCTTAACAACGGTCATGTGACTACAATCTACTTTTCTCTTCCATAGATATTTTCCTGCTGAATTCAGCTCATTGTACCTCTAAGAGTCAGTCTAATGATCTCAACAAAGAGAATAAAAGGCCAGTTTGCAAATCTCTCCAGTGTACAGAAGCAGAAACCCGTAAGAATTTATCTTCAGATGATTTAGAAGAAGGAGAAGTTTTAAGTGACCACGAAACACCTCAATCTCAAAAAAGTTTTGAGAAAAGCAGCAAAGCCCGCACTTCTGCCCAAGTGCGGACGACAAAGACCAGCCCAGGACGGAGGGACAGTGCCGTGCAATCAGACGGCAGGAAGAGGAAGCCATCTGTAGAGATTCATCAGACCAATAACAAATGCCGTAAGATGACCGGCGAATCTTGCAAATCTTCGAAAACAGGGAAGAAAGAGAAAATAATGAGCCCTTCCAGCCTGGAAAAAATTGTTCAAATTATTGCTACCCCCTCTTCTGTCCGAGAGGTTATGCACATGTTACGAATGCTAAGAAAACATGTAAGGAAAAATTACATGAAATTCAAGGTCAAATTTTCATTAATACAATTTCATAGAATTATTGAGTCAGCAATTTTGAGTTTCACATCACTAATCAAATACCTTGACTTAGCCAAAATCTCTAAGTCAGTGTCTGCTTTACAGAAATACGTCTGTGACATCATAGAATCTAAACTTAAGCAAGTTAAAAAGAATGGCATTGTTGATCGTTTATTTGAACAGCAACTACCAGATATGAAAAAAAAACTGTGGAAATTTGTAGATGAGCAAATGGATTATTTGTTTGAAAAACTTAAGAAAGCCTTAGAAAAATTTTGTGATTCCAAAAACTTTGGAAGTGACAGTGATGGGCGAAAACATGAAAAGAATAAAGAAAAAGTACAGCACTCACATTGTCAGAAAGGGAATACAGAGAACCCCAACAAAGCAATCGTAAAAGCCACCCCCCCAAAACCAGAAGATTCTGTTCATGTTAAGTCTCTACCGGGGTGTAAAACCTTGGAGGACACACACCAAGACCAAAACAACGCTAATAACGCAGTCAAGCATGACATCACAAGAAGCTCCAGCACCTTCAATAATACAAAGAACTCTCAATCCAAAGAGCACTCCTTGGAAATAAACTGTCCAGGCACCCCAAGGCCAGACAAAGCTGAAGGCAGCACGGTGGGAGCCGCGCAGGCATCCCAGCCTGCCGCTTTGAAGCCAGAACGGAGTTTTGAGATTCTGACAGAGCAGCAGGCATCCAGCTTGACTTTTAATTTAGTGAGTGATGCGCAGATGGGTGAAATATTTAAAAGCTTGTTGCAAGGTTCTGATCTTTCAGAGAGCAGTGTTAACGGTAATGAAAAGGGTGAGTGGGAGTTAAAAACCCCAGAGAAACAGCTGCTAGACAGTCTTAAATGTGAATCCATGCCAACTGACGAGCTAGCTTCAGGGGTGGTTCCTCCAAACCTTAAAATGATTAGTGATGACAACTGGTCCTTATTGTCTTCTGAGAAGGGGCCGTCTCTGTCTTCCGGGCTTTCACTACCAGTTCACCCTGATGTGCTGGACGAGAGTTGTATGTTTGAAGTGTCCACTAACATTGCCGTAAATAAAGACAATTTATGTAGTTCCGAAAAGAGCAGGCCCTGCATTTCTTCCATCCTTCTCGAAGATCTAGCAGTCTCTTTGACAGTACCGTCCCCTCTGAAGTCAGATGGTCACCTCAGTTTCTTAAGGCCTGAAGTTCTGTCTAGCTCCACCCCTGAAGAAGTGATCAGTGCCCACTTTAGTGAGGATGCCTTGCTTGAAGAAGAGGATGCGTCTGAGCAAGACATTCACTTAGCTCTGGAGTCCGATAACTCCAGCAGTAAGTCAAGCTGTTCGTCGTCGTGGGCCAGCCGGTCTGTGGCTCCAGGCTTCCAGTACCACCCGAATCTGCCCATGCATGCTGTCATCATGGAGAAGTCCAACGACCATTTCATCGTGAAAATACGGCGCGCCGCACCGTCCACCTCCCCTAACCTCGAACAGAGTGCCCTGGCTGACGCGGCTTTGACATCTTTGCCTCCCGCAGAAAATGAAGCTGAAGAAGCAGCCGAGAAAGAGTACATTTCCTGTGAGAGCTCAGCTTTAAAATCTGTGGTGGAACAATTAGAAAAAACTGTTGAGGGCAGTAGCTTGACTAATGAACAAAACTGTATAATACAGCCTCAAGTCCCCGATATATACGAATTTCTTAAGGATGCTTCAGGTAAAACTGGCGATAGCGATAAAGTGGCTGGTGACAGTTTCAAATTGCACCAAGTGTGGGAACCACACGTGACCACTGAACACAAGGAAGAATTGCCTCCGCTTGAAGAAATGCCACCGTCCGTTGAGGGTCAGCTCCCAAACACGTTCATCGACCTAACTAAAGACCCAGTCGCCGAGACCAAACACTTGGGAGAATTCCTGGAAGTAGCAGTTCTCAATATTGGTCCGTTGGGATGTTCTGGCGGCAGTGTGACTCAGGATACTCAAATAGTAGATAGTTCCTTACAGCTGGACGCTGTAGGTGCATTTATTGACTTGACACAAGATGCTTCCAGCGAGAGTAAAAATGAAGGGAACCCTTCTGCAGGGGCTGATGGAGGTGCGGGGTCTCAGGACATATGTGTAGAGGAAGAGAACTGTAAGGAAGAAGAGACGCAGGTGGCAAGTGAGCCCTTGATATGTGCTGCCGAGGAACCCAGCATCGATTTGACCACAGAATCTCCCAGTCCCTGTGAAGCAAGAAAGGATGATAACAAATCCGCGCCCAAGTCTGATTCTGACAGTTCAGAGTTGCCCCAGTCTTTGGATAATGCTCACAAAAAAAGAAAACACCTTTCTGATCCAAGCCATTCTTCTCAGAAAAAACAAAGGACGGACACAGACTGCACAAATGGGAGAAGGGCTAAGAAAGCCCGTCAAGATTCTGGCGAGAGTGACGAAGCTTGCCAAAGGAAGACGAGCAAGAAGAGAGCCTCTGCCCCACGTGCCGGCGACTCCTCACCCAAAGGCAGCCCAGAGATGCCGGCCTCCGCGGCCGTGCCCGCCACGTCGCCCTTGAGCCTTTCTGCAAAGAACGTTGTTAAAAAGAAAGGAGAAATTGTGGTTTCATGGACAAGGTAAGAATCTGTGAGAGTTGTAAATTACCAAGATATTTCGAGAGACCAGGAATGATTTTGTCATGCTTCCGTAGTTTTATCTCCTTTTAACTAAGGAAAGTGATGACTTCAGAAATGGCCAGAGTTGGGAAACGTGTCCCAGAGTGCAGTGCGGCTCTGCTGTGGAATGGCCCGGAGCAATGGCTCTTCACCAGGGGTGTGTGAGCACCTTTTCAGTTAGGAATTCTCGCACATTTGTGAAAGGAAGACTGTT